GGTTTTGTGTTCATTCACAAATACCCTTTTGCTTTTGAACACCAATAGGACTCATGTCTCCACTGAGGTTGTTGTGCCTATCGGTATCAAACATGTCCCGAAGCCTCAGGATAGGGATGAGGCTTGCAAGAGTTTCATCAACGCTAAAAATCGAAGAGGGTGCTACAAGAGAAAGTAAGAGTTCTAAGTCTTGCCTTTGCTAATTGTGTGTCAAGATTGTTTTGTTGATTATCACATTTGAATCCTTGCGTAGTTGACCTTGAGAATTCCATAATACTAGTATTATTCTTTGTCATGAAAGATAAATACGCAATTCTGCCAATTTAAATCTTGCTTTGTCTCTTTAATTTTTTTAGTTATGTTTTGTCTCTAAGCGTTCGATTTCTTCTAATTTAGTCATCAAGTTTATACGTGGGGTTTAATTTTGCAAATAGGTTTCAAAGATTTTTTTTTCATTTCAAACATTTTTATTAATATTAGCAGTTGTATGTTGTGTTGAATTGAAAATATTGATATCCCTTGAAGCATATTGGCAAAAACTTAAACACCGTATAATTAAATTAACTGAACCGATTACCTTCGGTCAAATATTCGTTGCAGTTCAAGTTCATAAGCACAGATTGATTGAATAATCTTGATTAGACAATCACTGTATTAATTGTGACATGCAACATTGATTTCATAAATATATATCTTAATTCGCATTACCAGATTATTAATTATTAATTACTATGTCAAATAATTAAATAAGAAGCTTTTCTTGTTGAAATTTTTCTTCTTGATGAGATCAAGTGCACCAACATGGGAAACGAACAGCTCAATTCTGATGGAAGATGGGTATGTATGGAGAAAATATGGACAAAAGATAACAATGAATGCAAAATACCTCAGGTATATATTCTTCCATTTGAAATTAATTATAACCAACCAAGAATATGATTAATTCAAACAATGTAAATGCATGTGTGGATGCAGGAGCTACTACAGATGCACTCACAAGTATGATGAGGGTTGTCCAGCAATCAAACAGGTTCAGAGAGTTCAAGAGGACCCTCCATTGTATAGGACAACTTATTATGGCCATCACAATTGCAAGAGTTCTTTAAATCCACAGATAATGTTGGAACCAGATTCTTCTGATTCTTCTTCTATGTTCCTTAGCTTCAGTAACACCTTCTCTAGCAAAGAAGAATACCCTTTTTCATCCATGAAACAGGAGCCTATGGAAGTGATTCCGGAGGACTACAGTGTTCAAAACCAACTACCCTCATCAGATTACCTTATGTTATGTGACTATGAACTTGATTTCAATTATTCGAGTCATGTTACTATGCTATCATCCGCAGAATCTGTTCAATTTGATTATGCGAGCAGTTTGGATTTTGATGGATAGGCATGTTTTGGTCTACACTCTACAAAATTTGTTGTGGTGAGGGCAAGGCATTGGTGACTTTGTTTGGCACAGGGTTTTAATTCTATGAATTTTAGTTACCTTGATTAAGAAAAGTCCTTTACAGCATTAATTGAGGGACCCCTATTTATTTTAGCTGCTAAAAGTAAATAAAAAAGTTGTTTTCTGAAATCATCGGTCACAGTTTGGTTCAGTATTTAGGGCATGAAAG